AGGGCTAGTGGTAACAGAAAGTCAGACCCCTTAACTATTTGGCTACCGCGGCCCAATTAAAAGAGACAAAAATGCGAATCATGTATTGTTCTAATCTCCAGACAGATTGTGTAACCGAAAACGAACAGACGGCATTGACTCTGTAGATTAAAAGTCAATAAAGGGTAGTCGGTTGGTGCAGTGGATAGCGAACTTGCATTTCACCAAGGTGGCGGGGGTTCAATTCCCCGATCGGACGTGAATAGGTATAGGGTCACCTGCCAGGTCACGTGGGTATTCTGCGGGTATCCCGGTTTCCTCCCGCAATAAGACCCCCGCGCGCTAACATCAAGACCAACAAGACTATTTAATATGATATGAAATAACTTGTTTCATAATTGTTGTAAAAGAAATAAAGTTTATTTTTATATTTATACTTTATGACCGCTAACACAATATGGAGGCAACACCAGGCGCCTCAGAATAGATTTAATTTAATAAGCATATGCTTCCTGAAAATCGATAGCCCAATTAGGAATACAACAATCACTTTACCGAGATAAAAGTTTCAGAATAAAGTCACGTGATTTTAAGGTAATGGGGTACATCATTTTGCACGTATAATGTACTTCCAATTTGAATAATGATTATTAGCAATTACCTATGGATATGATTTTGGTTATCGAACTCATATTTATAATTACATGATACGGCTTAAAAACATGTTTAAACTTGTTTATCAAGTGGCTCGTTTTTCTCTAGTCTCTTTCCAGGTAAAACCTAAGACAGCCTATGATCTGTCTTTGATACCGACACATGATCAACACCGTATACATGAAACATCAAACATGACTATACCAGAGTTCTCGTCAAACATACCTAAACCAGAGTTCACGTCAAACATACCTAAACCAGAGTTCACGTCAAACATACCTAAACCAGAGTTCACATCAAACATACCTAAACCAGAGTTAACGTCAAACATACCTAAACCAGAGTTCACGTCAAACATACCTAAACCAGAGTTCACGTCAAACATACCTATACCAGAGTTCACGTCAAACATATATAAACCAGAGTTCACGTCAAGCATGCCTAAACCAGAGTTCACGTGTGCAAACGCTTCTACTGTCTGATCGGTAAAGGATCCCTGTACTACTGCTCTGTGGTATTTTGTATATACAGTAATCTCCCCTTAGTTTTGCTTTTGGTAAAACTGAAACACAGTTTGTCCTGCACACTTCCGTTAGCTAGGCAGTTCAGTCGGTCTGAACAATAATAAACCGATCTGAGGTCAAGGGTTCGTTTCCAACATTAACCAAGCTGAATTTTTAATATCAAAACACTGTTTGTTTGTTAGATTTAGTTTTTGTTTTTTCTTTATTATTTTTTATAAAAGTTCCGCTTTTGTTTTCATAAATGATTTATCAACGCTATACTCATTACTAAAAAAATACTGTTTCCTAAGCATAATTTCAGTTTTTGGCAGTAGGACGGGGATCCTTAAGGAACTACAAGATCGGGATTGTTTGATTAAATCTAACGACGTGGTCGCACATGTACACCCACGCCTATACACAGGTTGGATATTCACAGAACGATTTAAAAAGAGAACGAAACAGATAGAAAACCATATTTTGAACAGTTGCTTGTCCTTGCCATAATCACCTCTGCACGTCGGGGATCACGAACGGAATACCCTGCTATTACCCACTGCATGTATCGTAAGAGGCGCCCGATGTCGGAACCCCCTGCAGAATTGAAATTTTCTTTTGTGCCATCTACTTTGCGACACAAAAGCTAACAAAATGAATCTACTGCACCCATTGTAATATGTGGGATTTTTGTATATTTCTTTGATCTACCTTACATTTTCTAGCGCATTGCTTGGTAATATCTCATATTTGGCTTTAATTTTAAATGTTTGTCAAGGAGACTAAAGCAAGGGGTTCTATCCCAAGGCCGGGACATACCAAAGTCCTTTGAAATAGAAGTTGATATTTCATGCTTAACGTTAAGCAATTAGAAAAAACCAACAACTGGTTCACCCATTATGTGACCGGGCTTTGAAGTGTGTCTTCGGTGAGATAGCACCACGAAATCGGCACTAGAGCGGAGGCAAGTACTCCGTCATATAAACACACATGTACGCTTATACAACACACATGGAGGCATGGCCTTAAATTACTATAGATGGTAGTAGGAAGTTAAACCCTGTTCAACGAACATCGATGCCACAATTCTGTAATGCTGTAAAAGTGTAAATTTCACATGTGGATATGTTCACATTGTGCCGTTTAAACAGATTGCAATTGGGAAAATTTCGCATTGGCAATGGATCATATGTCTACATATCTAATATATCTATATTATATTTAATCCACAAATAAATCTTCCTTGTGTTTGGTTATTTGCGCGGTTTGTCTTCATAATGTGAAAAAACGAGCTTTTTAACACCACAAAAATTCCACTTTTACAGTGCTAGACATCTGTTGAGTGTTCAGAGCAGTGAAGTTAGTCTTATAACCAGTATTCAAAAGATACGTAGCAGTGCAATCAAGTCTATATTGCATACCTGTGCAAAACAGGATGCAGTGAAAAAGATATATACAAACAAAAGCACTACATAAAACAGATTAGTCTGTTTTTACAGACGTTTGTTTGAATTGATTTGCCAGCACGATCATTTTCATCGATAAAGAATAGTTCTTTTCAGTTCTTATGTCTGTGACTGTAATATATATCTATTGGTACTTCGGAAAGTAGTGCCCCTCTGGAGTGGTTAACCCATTGCTTCCATAGTGTCGAAAATCCTTGCCACATTAACATGTGTTTAACAAAAAAACTAATGTTCAGCACAAATGTCTATACGTTCTTAGAAATGATGCTATAAAGCAGTTCGATACACTGTTCTCTGAGTATCGATAAGTGTTATTGAATTATTTCCCGATAGTGTTAAATACATTTACAGTGGTGTTTCGATAGATCTTCAGCTATAACACGAAATGCATCATTACCATCAGGACATCAGAAGGCTACAATACATTGCACATGTCCACCGTGCTTTCTTTGGAATAGATATGAACGATACATTTTAAAAATAGCTTGATAATGCCTCTTTAAAATTAACCTCACGAAGTACACGATTCTTAATATGGGTTAGATAGCCAATTACATCACTTTAAATACATGTAGCTCACCATGTAAATGAACAGTCTGTTAGTAAGACTTGCTCATGCAAAAACCCTCATTAAAAATTACCTGTGTAATACACTACTTTTAATGTCCCCATAGAAGTGATTTCATAATTAACTAAACCTGTATTAAGAAACCCTCTGTGTAAACAAACTACTTTTTGGATTTCACGACGTTCGTCTTGGAATACAGGTTGTGCTCTAACCCGCTATTTCAAACAGACATTTAGAGGTATTTGAATCATATTAGGAGTTTATACACTCATGCAACCTTTGTTTTTATTGTTTTGCTAGTATTACAGTTTATTGTGATCCAAGGTATTTTGTTTGTTAGCGATAATAATTTTCAAATATCTAAATTCAATATTATTTGAAAATAAATTAATACAAAAAGAATTTCCGTTATTGTTTTTAATACACATGATGTAATATTTGGAATGCATCTTTGTAGTAGTTCCTTTCAAATGCATGCTCATGTTGCAATACCAAACACAATAGAAATATTCTCAAAACAGAACTGTGTTGAAATACTATGATAAGCGTAATCACAAAATATGTTCTTTTGTAACCTGGTGCACGCATTAGCCATATTACATAACTCAATTCAGCAATATGTGGTACATATACATCTATAATGTACATGATTAATTTCTTTAACCTATGGAACATTAAATTGAAAGTTAATAGAATGAACAGGTGAATGTGATAGAATGTGTCTAACGTCAAATTGACGCTGCTGCTATACTTTAATATATGACGTCATTTGAATTATCATTGTAATGACGTTACTTTTATGACGTTATTTCAATTGTTTTAATGATGACGTCACAAGTAAAACATGGAATTACCAGATGCTCATACCGTGGTAGATCATTACACAAATATTAGATTAGGGAAATGTACAGGAGGTATTATTTATTACCGCTGCGCAGTAATAGAATTTATGTGATAAACATCCTTTGCAATAGTTTGTATTTTCTCAACATGCCTCACAATTTATAAATTCTAAAATACACACTCTAACACACACATATAAAGGTCTTGCACGCCAAGTTATATCCTGTTTCTCACACTACAGACACCTTAGCTGAATACAATTCTGCACAGGGATCGATCGTTCGGCGTGGTATTTTAAATCAATTTGTAAACAAATACAGTCGAATGAACGGGTAGTCCTACGGAGTAACAAAACCTGCTATACGACTAAGAGGCAGTGAAGCCTGGCGGGGGTAATCATATAGGCCTCATGTATAAGTCATGGGCCAGCTTAACTCAGCTAACGACCTTGTTGACACATACCGCGGCACTAAGGAAGAGGCAATGATTGAACACAGTAGTGTTGAGGATTACTTCATGAATATAGCATATAGTAGCAGCTTGTCATGGTAGTATACATGTCATTTAAGGATATATGTTCTTATTTTTGCAGATAAATTATATCACGATATTCACAAATGACAATATAGTTAAATGCATTCATTAAGATAACAATACTGAAGCGAGGCATACGATATACTGTATACGATGGTAAATATATAATGATTACTACCTTTGTGTATTGCCAGCGATCGACCCTTGCATACACAAAATGTAACCTACATGTCACAGTTGTCTTAACGAGCCAAAACCTGCCACTTAAGTACCTGTGATTAATTGGCTTGAATTGATGACTAATTGAATCTAATTATAGCGCTACCTAACTGTATAGTTACCTGCTACATATAAAGCACACGGCCTAATGCAGTGCTGTTATCCAATACATACATTGTATTACAAGAAAAATTTTTTTTTCAATAATACTGACGTTAAATCGAAATGAAATATTACCTGTTTAGTGCCTTTTATAATGTCCATGTCCACCGATAGGTAGTGCTCCTATCCCGGAGTCGTCGCTCACCGCCTTGTGTCCTTTCAGTGTTTAGTTAGACAATAGGTGGTTATCTCAGGGTTCACCTTATATTTTATTGGTAAACCTAACAATTACCCGACACGGGTATAGTACAGTGTTTCTCATTGGCTGTGAATCATATAGGCTTAATATACATATATGTTATAGCGCCATTCAGTGGTTTATTTTTTAATTAGATAGCTTCTTGTCTAATTAGAAATGCAGGAGGTGTTTTGTCATATATCGTACAATTCCTATTTGTCGTCCTTCCGTTAATTGTAAGCATGCATACAACTGTTAGGTATACATGAATTCAGTCTTTAATAATAGTATAAAGGACGCGCTATAGGCTATTTAGGTCACAAGGTTTCATTCACATAAAATAAAAGATAAGAACATAATGCAAGAACTAACTTACGTTAATATCCGCCTATTTGATTAGGTTTTCTGTCAAAATGATTGAACATTTTGATATTTTTTTCAGTCGAGGTTCTTGATGTTCGACTTTTTTTTATTTGAGTGTTCCAGAACGAGTCATAGAAGGACTAAACAGTTGTGTTGTCTGATACAGTGAAATTCATTTCGGTATATTTCATCTACTACATAATAGTATAAGTGCAATCACCTGTCTGTGTCGTACATTGTTCGTTTACTTTTCTTTGATATCGACTTTTGTTTTTAATTATTTTAAATTGACGATGTAGTTTCTTGTTTTGTACGGTTTTGTGGGTTTTTTAAAATTATTATTTCTCCATTTTTTGACAAATATAAACAAGCTGGAAATCTGATGATAATGAATTAGCTATTAAGGGGGTTGACCTATGCTGGTAGATTGACTGTCCTCAGAATTGATTTTGCTGGATTTCCGGCACGGCTAACAAGAAACAGCGCGTTTCTTATGAAAGAATTTCACACAGATGCTTGCCCCTTTAAAATGTAGTAATAAATCAAATACCATCACACATATGGATCACAAAGCTGTTTCGTCCTTCTATGACTCATAGATGAAACTAGAGAGAATCATTTTCCATTTTGCCGTATTCTTACATATGTTCTGACACACTCATTACTTGGATTTTCAGTTATCTAACCTTAGTACCTCACTTTGACTGAAATCAAACATATCGTAATATTGATATTCAAGTACTTGCACCTGTGAGGTGAAAACTTTGCAGAAACCTCGCGTATAAAGCATAGACTAAACTGTATTTTGTTTAAACTTAAACAAATGGTATGCAACCCTTTCTTACTTTATGCTTCTTAGGAAAATGGCATATGAGCCGATTTTGTCCAAACGTGGAAAATGCATTACATGTTGTTAACACTGAGAGACGTGATGTTAAACACCACTCTGCTATCAACAACATATACACAATGGACGATGATGACATTGTCTGCATCGTCATTGCTTGTGTCCACATTTTGTTAAGATGTTAGAATATTAACCGGTAACAAGGAACTTGTTAAAACCTTAATGTTAGCTTTCAGATATATCGATGATGTATGCGCTTTGAAATACGAATACGCTCCTTATCATGAAATCAAGGGCACTACTTCAGTCGCTGACGCCGATATTTCTGTCCAACATAATCAACGGGACAGGTTGCGATGCAGAATGATAAAAACTCTAGGCAGTTTGTATGGTCGCCAGGAGAATCTCATTAAGATTATTGAAGTATTTAATGGTCATTAGTGTACCGCATGGTTTTGCTGTCATCTTGTTGCCGATTCTCCCTTAACGAACAGGAGAGTACTTTCATTAGTGCAGTCACAGAAGTAGAACACGCTTATCCTTATGGAACATTATTATAGTGCAAGTGTTAGGAGTGTCCATGTTGGTCTTTTTCTTTCTTTTCTCGCTAAATTGTCATCGGTTTTGAGTCTAATTACAGATTTGTTTCAATTTTAGTATTCTGCTGATTTCAATCACGGTAGTATGAAAATTTAAAGAAGGTGAGATGGCGTTAGAGTGTGCTCTTTCTCCAGCCAACCTGAACGTGTATTTCATTGAAGCTGGACTTTTTTGGACTAGCAAAGATCTAATAAAATACACTTGACAGATTCCTTAATATTACAAAATGTGATTTACACAAAATCGATTTGGTTTTTGTTTGGTGTAAGACTAAGCGTCTTATTAACGACGTGTATTATACTTATGGTTTGGTTCTAGACAACAATAAATAATTGTCCTCGAGATATAAGGGGAAAAACGTATCCCAGTGTTTTCTTCTTAAGCACAATACTTCGATATATTTGCAAACAGCCTGAAAAGTCTATCACTTTATTTCAAAATCTTATGATTTTTTTTATCTCCTATTGACGTTAGGGTTTAATTGTTTGTTTAGAATGTTACGTCCTGTTAACCGCTTTGCTCATTTAAGGGTGTAAGGATTTGATGGTGGACGAAAGTCCCCGGAGAAAATCAACCGAGCTAGCTGCGCCCAGTACCTTACAAATGACCCACGGAGGTCTTGAAACCGCGGCAAGATGGTGGAGGGCTAGTGATCATAGACACTAGGGTAGTGATCATAGACACTAGGGTAGTGATCATAGACACTAGGGTTGATTCATTACACCACTCTGTGATATATTTACCCCAATATGACAATGGTTACCTTATTACACAATAAGACAACAATTAATGACAATAAAGGACAATTACAAAGCTATGATTACTAAAGTCACTTAAACCCACACTTTTTGATATATTAACCCCACTATGACAATATGGACGGTTTCGTTACACAATAAAAAACAGTCGTTTCCCCTGGTAGCCCTTGGGGTCAGATATATTTTGTCTGCCCTTTCGTATATGACATTAATGACGGCAATGGCGATCCAATTAACATGTTTTAATAAATAATATATTTTCTGCAGTTGGCTGCAAATCCTTATTTTGTATCTAATGTATCACACAAGGTTTCACTAAATTTCACTAAATTTTATTGAATAAAACTGATAAAACAGCCAATAGATAATGTCTGCACATAAGTCTTGCTTTACACAGCAATCGTATATTTTGTAGATGATAGATAATTTACGATCGCAAACGAAACGACTTCAAAATATTTTAATAATAATTAATCTTAATTAATTATAATACAGGTAATTATAGATGATTAAATAGCTTGATTGCATGCTTGAAAACATATGTTTAGTTTTAAAACAGAATTGATAAATAAAGCATTGCAGAAAAGAAAAGAAAATAAACAAAACATACACACAAAGATAGTTACCTTCGTTGCACAGCGGGGGTTAAAACTTGATTTGTATTTGCTAAACTTAATGTTGTTGTTGATTGGTTATAAAATGATTATTTATCTACGCATATGCAAATAAACCAAACCGGGAATACAACAATAGTTATTGATTTAGAATTCATGAAGGATAATTCGATTAAAAATGAAACTATCGCTAAACAACATCATTTCATTAAGTATGCAACATATAACCTGTTGAGTGTGTAAGGCTAACTGAATTGTCTCCCTTGGCTGGGATTTTATGTTAGATAAAATTGTTGATCGGAAGATATAGTCGGATCACCCCATCGAGAACAAAGTGCAATACTACTTAATCGGGGGCACCGAAAGGGTAAATAGCAGATTTACATATTGTTATTGTTGAAAGAGTATTAATAAAGGGATTCATTAAGTGTTTGATTCTGAAAAAATAAGATGAAAATAAATCATTGGTGTCTGTACGATTTGATTATTATGCGTTTTTTCCGTATTTAATAAAACTCGATAAATTTTAACCCTGTTGTATCCCTGTCAATGTTTTACATGCTTCTGCAGGATAAGCTGGTTTAATAATATTTGAAGCATCAAACTTATATTTACAGAAGTGGCTCGACACGCTCCCAAGTACAGAAGGGTAAGTACTTATATGTTAGAAGTGATGATATTATGTAAGGATACCCTCATCAGTATATAACAGACATTTTCAGACATAGAAGACATTTGTTTCTTATATGAATCTAGGATATAAATATTGACTCTATAAACTGTCAATCGGTTTCTGCTAGTTGAACAAAATAATAACAGAACCATAATAAGGTTATCCTTATTATCAAAATTGAAATGTTTGCAAATAGAATATAAAAGATGATAATTACAAACTTTACCGAAATAACGCTTTAAGAAGAAACAACGAAGAGTTACTACTTTCAGGTTGTTTTTTTGTACGTTGGATACAAACATTACAATAGTTATTGAGTAAGCTAAAGCAATGTAAGGCCGAATTATTGGCGTGTAATAAAACAAATACAAATCACAATAACAACAAACCCCAGTTTTTTTACGTTATTTGCACAATGCAATGCAAGACCAAACAAAAGCAGCAGTTATTTCGAACACCAATTAGTATAATGTGTTTTAAACATTTTAAGACGAAGACCTTGGCTTGTAGTTATAAAGAACACCTATTGAGATAATGATTTTTTTTCTAAACCAAATAATTTGTATAATATTATAAGGAACACTAATTAACGTGGTGAAATGTTAAACCAAACTATTGATTAAGATTATAATAAATACGTATATGTAATATAAATCCAAGCCCCGGACAAAACGTTATAATGTACAATTATAAGGATATCTGTTAAGACCAAACGATGTATATAATGTATTACGAACACTTATTGACATAGTGTAATAGAAGACCAACCATTGGTAAATGGTTTTCATAAATACCACGTAGTATTGTGTTATAAACGACTAAGCGATTTATATAATGTTATACTATGACTATTGTGCTATGTGTACAACGTACCAATAAACACTAATTGATATAATGTAATGTGATCAAAGACCAAATTAGTGATTGGTATGAAATTTTAAAGAAAACCACTTTGTATTCTTAATGTAAAACGAGTCAGTTGGTATACGATTATATATAACACTAATATGTATTATATAATGTATAAGTACAGTAATGGGTATAAGCTTGAAATGAACGCCATAAGATAATAGTATTGTGTCACCATTTCTCAGATTTTTTTTGTATTTATATTGCTTTGAAGTAAAGAAAATGTTCTGCCAAAAACAATATAGGTTTTCAGAATTTTAAGGATTTTAAATGGAAATTTATGTAAAAAGGAGTGAATTTAAAAAAAAAATGAAAGACATTTTTTTGCAAAATAATGTCAATACAAATGATACTGTCAAAGATTAGTATTGCATTAATGTATATAAATTTAATAAATGTTAAAATTGTGTAAAAGATATTTATCTATAAACGATTAAAAATTGACATTTTATATAAAAAAAAAAACATATACACATAGTAATTGCATGTAAGAGTTATCTTTCTTTAAAAACACAGTAGTGAAATAGGTAGCCGGTTTCCTGAAGTACAGAACAATGGACACATGTGACTCATTGATAAAAGAACACAACTGAATCAATGCCTGGATTGCTTTGAAATACTTTGATATTGAGAGAACAAACTGTTATGTCAATAATAAACATACAATATTCATCAATTTAATATTAAACATTAGAAGATGCGGAAACTGTGATACTGTCTCCCTACATTGGATTTTCAACTAGGGATGCACTTCCTATTTCCGTTTATCAATACACTCCTATATGACCTTAACTGTTACCTCATGTAAGACTCAAATGATTGGTATAAGATCAAAATGCATACTAATTGTTAAATTATAATGTTAGACCAAGTCATTAAATGGGATAATAATAAGTTCAAGTTAGAATTACAAAAACAAATATCAAACCATAGGTATATACGTTTCCCTATACACACGCTATCAGAAGACCTTGCATTCATATCAGTCTTCATGCAATTACATCAGTGTCATTTGACGCCTTTTCTACCACCTCGAATAACTTGAAACCATTATAGGAAGCAAACATTCAATTGACGTCGGACGTTGGTTGCACTTCCTGCAAATACAGAATACTCACTGCTATTACTTTCGAATGGAAACATATGTATTGAATAGAGTTATGCAAACATGGCGCTATAAACGCACACAAGTTAATCCTTTTTTTTTAACATGAAGTTGTTGTAGCCTTTATGAAATCGTTTTGCGTTCATACTTATATGAATGTTACATTTAAAACGACTCCGTTCAATACCTCAATGATAACCACGTATTATTTGTGTTCGACACACAGTACCTTGCCTTAAGAAAACAGTTGATACTGATAAGCATACCTCTATATGAAACAGTTGTGCCTAAAAGAAGAATGACGTGCTCAGTGACATCACATACACCATATCTAGCATCAACATGTTATTATTGTAAATAACAGTAGTTCAATGTATAACACAGATACTCTATTTGTACGAACGAGTTATCCCCCTTGGTGTTCAAAATACTTCAGTTTCAATTATTCATCCACAACAGAACAAATATCTATTCGTGCAGGATATGTTCAGTGTGTCTGAGTATATTTAATTGATAAGACAAATCATGTAACAATTTTTCAAAGATATGTGATTTCATGTTTATAAACAGTCTATTAAACCTCTTCATTCAAGCATAAGATTGAACCATAGAGACGCAAGTACATGTAACATCTCTTCAACCAAATATAAATTGGTTGTTTAAAACCACAAACTATCACAAAATGCAAACTGTATATTATAAATGTATACTTAATGTCGAACCTCATTTTTACGAATCGGATATCTCAAATAGAGCATTTATTTCGTCGTAGGCTTCTGTATTCTAGAGTTTTTTTATGCAAATTTATGATTGATATTTATCACAACCTCATTGATATCTATGGGTTCTGATTGTTTCAACAATCGCGACATAACTAGGTACAAGACATATATCGTGAGAATCAGTGATTTGTTGATTTAAGAACTAAAATGCATGTTTGAAAACTTTTAACGACATACAACATATCTTTGAACAGAACATTATAAAAATGCAATCCTATTATTTATTTAGTTTTTATTTATTTTCAAAAACTAGTCGTTCGAATAAAATTATCTATGGTGAATAATTCCCGTGTACTAGCTTCAGCTGTTATTGTTTTACAACACCATGCTCTGTTGATAGGTTTGTTTATCTTATGGCCTTACAACGGTCATGTCAATATCATATCTTTAATACTAATTTGACTGGAGACAGCATTAGGACGGGTACTCTATTAGGTCTAAAAAACATTGATGACTGCCAAGACACTTCCGGTATGCTGTATGGTTCACAATGTCTTTGATGTTCTTCTCCATCCTGTACCTATTGTCGTGCTGTGTATAAATACATATAGTACGGAACCAACACATATGTAATACTGTGGTGGAGAACCAACAACTATGTCGAATATATGCAGTAGAGAGCGAGCATGCATTGCATATATATATACTAATGTTCTTACTGTTCCTACCCCTCACCTCGACTCAAGTAGTACCGCTAGTATTGTTACAAAGGTAGTTAGGTAAGTGTTACACTGAAAGATTTTAAATATTTTATACGAACGAGCCAAATGGGACTTTATGTAGCTTTAACTACAGTCAAAATTTTCTTACAAGAACACCTAAGAGAGGATTCAAAAGAATTGTTTAAAGATGGTCTTTTGATAAAATATTAGAATAAAATGCACTGCTTTTTTGGAATAAGCAATTGTCGCCATTTCGGTAATAGTATTGTTTAGGGCGATCAAGCTCGTTTTACTATATGTGTCGTTCGTATATTTGACACTGATATGAACAAAACAAGATACAGTTATCTTATCGTAGAACGAACTCACTACACTGTGCAAATATCGGTGTCCATCCCCAATACTGACCAGACAACCACATGTACGACATAGACTAACCTAATAAAGCATGAACAGCTTAATCAAAAATAAACGGTAATCTGTTATCTAATATTGTTACAATATTTAAAATACAATTCTATGAATATATTAAAAGAAACCAAACTTAACCAATGGTGGGTTATAAACATATCTAAACACAAGTTTGTGTGACGCCGCATTACTTTGTTCGATTATCAACTCGATGACAATGCTAAGAGGATTATTTTACAGAACATTACCATGACCCAATTTGTCTGGTTATTATGCTAAATAGAATGATATGTTATCTAGGGGTTCGCTGTTTGTTTTGATAGTAACTGGAATTTCTATCAACTACGTCATAAAGCATGCACAATAATATGAAAATTGTATCGATCCAATACATCATGCATCGGTATTGCCGTGTTTATTTGTCTTTTTTTATTTATCAATTTATTTATTTATCTTCTGTAAAATGATATTAAAATAATATCGATCCAATACATCAAGTTTTATTTCAAACGAGATTATCGCGTTTATTTATCTTATTTTCTTAATTAATTAATTAATCAATCTTATTTAAAATAATTCGAAAACTATATCGATCCAACATATGGAGTCTTATTTTTACCGGTATTCCCTTGTTTATTCATTTTATGTAAAATGATATAAAAATCTTATTGCTCCAGTACTGAACGTTTTATCAGCATTCTCTGGTTAACCTCATCTTATTTATCTATTTAATTTTCTTATACAATTAATAAAAAATCGTCAAATGAGAAAACATGTAAATGTTACAAAAGGTTCAACAAATACTTAATTAGACGAAATTTGTGTTTACCGGCACGATGTTTTATCCGATAGGTACTAAAAATGTCGGGAGGTGTAAACTCAAGAAAAAACTATGATGTCATAAACCTGTCCTCTCTTGTTTATTATGAGTAAAACAGACTGACAGGCTCATTGAGGGGTTACATTAATATGAAGGTAAGCCCTGAGAATGTATATCATAGACATATAAAAGATTTGTTTTAAACTTTAATACCTTATCTACAATTGATTATCTGTGAAAATATTGTATTTCTATGTCATTATACTTAAAAAAAAGTATATGATTTTTGTTCAATAATTGATAATGAGTAAAGGTAGGACATGTATCGCTAAGCATGCGATACAATGTGCATAGACTTTGAGTTAAGATGGAGTCTTTTTTATTGACAATGTGATCCGTTTTGTAAGGATTGGATAATTTTTTGTCTACCATATGTTTCAATGCTAATCACTATCATCCATAAACATCAATTTGCTCGACACACCCTCCCTATTAATCAATCCTCCCTCTTACGAGACCACCATTTCTTTACTCCCCTAAATCAGTGTATCTGTATTAATATCTACTTTAGACAACCTTGGGTTCGCAGGTTTGACGCCTACATTGTATGTAGGGCAGTCTCTGGGTACTGTTTGCAGATCTGTGGTTTTGCTCATGATACTCATGTTTTTCTCCACAACCAAAACCTGGCATGTCCTTAAATGACTATAGCTGTTAATAGGAAAGAACAAACTTAACCAAAAATTCTTAATAAGGTTGTAACTGTATCTGTTTAAGTTAATACATAATAAGTTTAATGTTTTGATTTTGTTTTCAGATTTTTACAAGATGAGTTTGTACATCGTGGCGCTGTTAGTTCTAGCATACGTGATATCTAAAAAATTCCTAAGATCACTGAAGATTCCTCGGATTTACGACAAGTATGTGTTTATAACCGGATGTGATAGTGGTTTCGGTCATTTATTGGCCAAACGCTTGGATTTTCGTGGTGTCAACGTTTTCGCCGGATGTTTGACAGAAGATGGTAGAGCTAAACTGGATAAGTCAACGTCATGTCGAGTGACGTCAATGTTAATTGACGTCACCGATGAAGAGAGTATCAAGAATGCATTCATGATAGTGAAATCTAGACTACCCTATGGACGAGGTAAATGTTTGAAATTGGAATGAGTGCACATTTTAATATCTTTTAATCGTTCTGAATCTAGTTGAATAACACTTTGTGAGTTTTATTATTCTGAAAAATTTCTTTCTAAGTGTAAAAATGTTCTTATCTCCTGCATGACTGATTGGATTTTAACTAAATTTGATATGAAGCATCCTTGGGACCAGGGGCGCAATGGATTTATGAAGGGTGTGGCCACCTAGGGGGCTGAGTGAGGGGCCGAAAAGGGGGGTGGATTTAGGGACATTTCAAAAAATCTTCTTCTCCAGTTCCAGAAATGCTAGTATCAAATACTATTCATAGTTGTAAATGCCTTCGAGTGGTTTATATACTTTGTGATTTTCATGTGCCCCTGGTCCCTTGTTTGCCTTTTTTTGGAGGGGGTAAAGTTTGGTATTGTTTATACAATGTATAGACCATGCGACAAATGAACAGCCATCACATACATTTTTATCTCCAACCCAACTAATGAGCTAGTAAAAGTAACAACCTTAATTCTTTATGAATTATAAAGTCTCCATAGTAACTCTTCCAAGTCTTACCCTACATGTCTGAAGTGGTTACAAATTGGCATTACAGAGCAAATGTAAATAGTGTGCCATGATTGCTTAAATAACCAGGTGAGCGATACAGGCACTCTGGGCCTCTTGTTCATATTGAAATTGCCACGCACTGATCAAAGCAAACATTTTCAGACGCGAAAATTTCACAACTTTTATAGTAATTTTAACCCAATGCTATGGATATATTTGTTTAAATTCAAATAGCTTTGACATCGTTATTGATTTCCAACTGTTTCTGAATGTTTCATGGAATGATTGGGAGCAAGAAAGTCACGAGAGTTATGGTATAAAATATGTGAATGTTAAACAAACTTGTTGTCAAGAATAATGACCTTTGAAGAGCATTAGGGTCAAGTATGAAATTAAATTTCGCATTAAGTGTTACTTAGCCGAAATGTCGACTTACTAATGCGAAATTTCAAAACACTATCCGAAATGTCGACTTCTTAACTCAAATTGCAACTTACTCTTTCTCGAAATGTCGAAATCATTTCAGGAAAATATTTTAAAATTTCGAGAAACTAACGCGATTAGACGAATTTTAGTTGTTTTATACAATCTCCATTGTTTGTTTGTTTATTTGTCAACTTGCTATAGTTATTATCAACTTTATGAAAATGCAAAAAATAAATAAACAAAACCTTTTTGACCAATTTACCGGGGAAATCCGATAAGGTATGGAAACTTACCCAATACCTTTAGACATCTGATTGGGGAATGTATCCCTGGATGTCTTGTTGAGAGTCTGAGGCGCCATTCATTGTGACTCAAGGTCACACTTCGCACACCTTGGTACATAAACACTCAAGAACAGGCAACAATGCAATAATGAACAAGTGTAGGAATGTTTGGTTATAATTGTTTCAAATGGTACACTTATTTTTTGAGGATTAAAAAAGATTTTGAACTGTTCTTATACATGTATGGATATGTATTGTCTTAAAGCGTCGTGTCTCAGGTTGTTGCTAAGATACATATACTCGCACTGTATACACACGCACAGAATCCTTCATGCGTAATTGATAATATTTCTGTAAGCAAAACCCACCAGAAATTAGGAAAAACGCTAGAATTGCGTTGAAGAACCCATTCGAAATTGACTTGACATAATTAAGCCGATATAGATTATAACAAGACAATAGCGACCTGCCTATCAATTATGGGCCACTTGCTTTGCCAAATAATATTTACAGCTTTGGTGTTACACAATACATCAAAATCATAAAAAACAACTTTCCAAAAATAAGATGTAGTTTTGTCAAAAAGAGTTTTTTTGTGATTTCTGTCCCCCACTTTACACCCTCATATAACCTCAAATTTAATGTGTAATTCATTATATTTTTTATGTATTTTTTCATTCAACTGACCTCGTGTCACATTTGAATAACTCCAAATAAAATAATGTGTAGTGGTTCAATATAGTCTGTAACAAATGATTCCTATTTTTGAAGTCAAAGATTCACAAACCTGTAAGTGACGTATCCCTTCCAATGACAGAGGATACGTTGCTGTATGCAAATCATATTTCTAAAGTTGTACGGTATCTAAAATATCAATATCAGTATGCCAATTAGAGATTTGTCCAAAGATGGAAAACCTTGAAGAATCAATGCAGTCAATTATATGAGGGTAGAAGTTCCCTGTTCCACGGGCAAACACCAAGAATGACCCTTTTTCTCCAACGTTTTACAAACATGTTCTTGGTGATTTCTTTTAAATTGATCATGACATTGCAAATATAACAGTAAAGAAAGTATTTCTATTCTAGTTACCGAACAAACTTACAAAGAAACATATTTGGAAAGAGCAGAATAACCCATCACATGCTGACGTTATACTTTAATGTTAAAAGGAATTAAAAAAGCTTAAAAACAGGTTTGGTTTGCAAGCTGTTTATTTCTTTGAGGCGATGTCAGATGCCGACTGCGTTTAACCGATAATGATTGTTCTTCTGGTGTCACGTTTTATAATGTCAGAACAGTGAGGACGCACACATTTGATTTTATGCACGACCTAGTTGTCAAGACTAAGAAAGATAGAAGTTCCTGAATCGGGTCATTTGGTGCACCTTCGTCGTATAAATTTTAGCCCACACGGGTGTTCGGGAAAAGTGTTTCCCTTACCCTGGACAGGTGTATAAACACCCTGGTGTCGAGACGAGGGGGTTTCCCTATTGAAAACAATTTTATGACGTCACGTGAACAGTACATCAACGACACGTCAACTCTGTATTTTTAGCATATAACATTAACAGTGCATGATACTCAATGAGTGAACAGGGTAGGGGAAAATGAATCAATCACCCCTTGAGGTGATATTTGGAATCTCAACCCTCAGGGGAAGATTCTTATGTTACCAAACACCCGGCAAAGCCTCGTGTTTGGCAACTTAAAAATCTCCCCCTCGGATGTTGAGATAAAGGGGGTTAGGGATTCTATAAATCTTACATGCGCCAGGTTCTTTTTTATTTTGAGATTTTCTACATTAATTATTTATATAAAACTATAAATAACACCGACGTTAATCTAGAAAATCTCAAACTAAATAAAACTGGCGTATGTAAGATTTTAAACTTTGATGCGCTTTTTCGAGAGGTAAAAGTATAAATAATTTGAAAATCGGTAAAGTATTGACGAAGTTGATATTTTGACACAAGATGGCGGCTACATCTGGATCTGATCAATTGGTTAAAGATGTGAACAGATATAAGTTCTTTAATACTTTAGTTAATAAACTTGGTAAGCCTCGCTTCTTTGCCAAAATTCCGTTCCCTTTGGTGAGATATTTATGTATACATATCCTATCGGTGCTGAACACAAAATAACGATAAATATTTCGGAAATGTAAAAGCAATTTAGAGACATAACTGTGTTATGACTCCATAATGTGTGTATAAACGAGATAGAATTATTCCTCGCTGAATAGATAGACAATTCGGCTTCTAAGAACACGGGAAACCTCTATATTATGCCCAAAATTGGTTTTCCTTGGGTCGGATATATTTTTCTCCTACATAAAAACATATGATAGAGTCAAAAATAAACTATTTGCCGATCTCTGCCTGTTTTTTGCCACTTTTTAGAAATATTTATTTTGTTTTTATCACACATATTTCGACATTACACTATTGGTTTCCAGCATCACTGATGAGGTGTTTTTTTTATCAATAATGATATGGCTGTCTAGTGCAATACATTTGTTAAGTTTTAAAACTTCATCCAACTGGTTTTGGTTCGATTTAGTATGATTAATAAAATTAATTAATATCCCTTTTCCTTTAAGGACTGCACGGCCTGGTAAACAATGCCGGTATATATGACTCACTTGGTGCCATATCATCGGAATGGTTATCCATTAAGGATTTCGAGAAGTTAATGAACGTTAATCTGTATGGGATGGTGAGGGTCACGAACAGGTTCCTGCCATTAGTGAGGGCTGAGAGGGGGCGGATCGTCAACATGTCCAGCGTGGCTGGCAGGTTGATCGCAGCTGGAGGTGCACCGTACGTCTGCTCGAAATTCGCTGTGGAGGGGTATTCAGACACCATCAGGTAAGATTCATGGTCACGTGACAAGTTTTGGTCTCGATGTGATATAATTAAGATAACATACAATATGATTTGTCTAGAACGATTGATGCAAATAGCTGTACGCAATATCAATATTTACTATTGAAGCGCATCTACATAAAAACGTGTCGGATTTGATAATATACATCATATTAAGGGAAAAGAAACCATCGCGTCGGTCATAAACGCTAGATTTTCCTTTGTTCGAAGTTTCACTCGAGAAACGGACAAAACCCAACACATTTGAATTCTGAGTGACGAGACGACAACATTAACGGGTCAAAATGACCACCTGGACTTTTGTGTTATTGCTCATTTTCGGTGTAAAAAATAACCATATTGTCCTTGTGTTAGGAAAACATAATTCTTTGTCGCTTTATTAATTAATAGCATTCCACATGAATTTCGCTCTCATGAATCATCAGTAATCCCAAGGAAACACAAACGGTGTGTATCTTCCACAAGGTACTAACTGTGGAACGTTTCACTAGAAGGACAAATGACGTGGTAACAAGTCGTTTGCTTGGACCATTAAAAGTTAAATCTAGCAAAAACCTTACCTTAACCTCGAAGTTAAAAAGCAGTATCGATCCTGTTAATGTTAGTATATACAAATACATTAAATCAAATATGAATTTCAAGTCAATTGTTCACTTGTTTTTCTTATTATTTGTTTTATGTGGTCGATGCAATAAGTACATGACATATATAACAACGTGTACATACATTGTAAATTAATTTCCCTTGCTATTTTTCTTTCATGAGCATTCATGCGGCGATGATCAGTATTGATCAGCGTCATTGTAAAACTTCTTCCGCCCAGATACACGTGAGATAACCGTTAGATTCAAACAGTTGGTGACGCTAAAGATGAACGTATGTGATTGAACCTTTACATTTTGGTAATGGATACAGTAAGCAAACAAATGCATGACACTGCATCATACAGCTGTTTATCCTAGATTCATCGGTGATGCCAAGGGCAAACACCTTGGAAATCTAAATAACCTGAACTACTATTGAAACAGAGTGGCAAGTGCGTAACACCTTATCAATTAATTATTTCAAAATTTAGAGGAGCCCAGGTTCATTTCAAATTTAATAATCTGTAAAATACGTATATCAAAAACCATGTCACTACTCAAAAAAGATAACAGTGGCTATCAAGTTACAGCGAACCCCGGGGATTGCAATAGTAGCCGTAGACTAATGGTATAACGTCGACAACGGTGAGTTAAATGATCCACCAGCAGAGTCTACCACCTTGTATCTGAAAGATGAACGTAACACACACATCGCACCTTTAAACTGTTCCAGGAACATCGTTTTTACTGAGGTCACAGATGCTTCAATATCGAACATAGAAGGAAATACATATCTGTATATCAATTATAACTAATAAATGTAGAATTACAATATATGTATTGAACTTAATCATCCAGGGCTTCATATGTATATAACAGATTTAACTTCATATCGGCATGGACATTAATAAATGCTGATTTAAACATATTCTGTTGATATAATCAAATGGATTGTGCTCAAGTTATAACAACTTATAGAGGCAGAAGAGATTATAGAGATGAGTAAAGTATATTTCGAATGATACAAAAGGTTCATTCAAAGTATGAATATTTTTAAACTATTTAAACTTAAACTACTGCATGGCACGCACTAGCTACACATTCTTTTCACATCAGCTATTCGTTTGTCCATATAAAACACATTCCTTAGAATCCTTCCTCGATTCAATCGTGTTCCTTCCAGGTAACATATCAATGTGCCATGCAGCGGAATTATTTCAATTTGAAAAAGAAAAAATACCTATATGCAATTTGCTGAACCAGTAACACTATTAATATTCTATAGACCTACAAAGCAGAATGAGAGGTTTAGGAGAGAAGGGACTATGACAGATTAGACAGATATACATGTACCTGTTCACACGAATTTTTGTTTAGAATCTGAACAATTTCAAAAATACGCTCATTGTCAATATTTGATAATTCAACATTTCCAGACAATAGTAACTCTTGGTGCAAAGGATGATAGGGTATCAACTTATTTAACATTTCATGTCTGATGTTCCTTTACATTGGACATTGGACAAAATAATGGTATGAGTTTTCACAGGGGTAGCCACAAGCACGAAAAGGAGATTCTACATTCAGTTGGCTACAATTGTGTCTAAGTTTAGTTAATAAGATATTAAGGCGACGGGGTCCGTGATTAAAGAAATACGGTGGCTTATAATGTTTCAGAGTTATGGCAGTTTTGAATTTACTGTAGTTTGATTTAGTTATTCCAAATTTCTGTAGTTGCTGGTATAAATGATGATCTAGTATTGGAAAGAATATAGTTGCATGTATGCATGGTATAGTTATTGTTATTTCTAAGGGGATATGGAGTTTTATCACATACTAAACCTGGGAGTAATGTATAAAGATATGACGGTGTTAGTTAATTGTGCATTTTGTAAAATACAGTTAGCTTTCTTCATTCTCTTCTGATATTCAAAGTATCCCATCCCGTTTCAAAATAAAAAGATTCATTACTTGCATATACTGGCAACCCAGTTACGACTCTAGCAGCTTCCAGTTGAAATTTTTCTAACAAATAGATATGGAATTTAGATAAACCACTCCAGAGTTCACAAGCATATTCAATTATAGGTAGAATGAAACATGTATATATTTGCTGTTCATTACTTATATGCCACTGCCGACAAATATTGTTGAACCATTCCATGGAACTGTCGGTAAATATTAGTGATATGGGAATAACGAAAAAACAAACAACCAAACAGGAATACAAGTGTAAAAAGTTCGAACAAAAGATTCATAAAACTAGGAGAACATTTGATAAAATGAAAGTTATGGAGTTTTTTGAAAATTCAAGGAAAATAAGACCAGGTTGTCCGGAAAGGTTAAGCGTATTCCGCTTTATTAACGACACTTGCCAAATATTTCGGCCTTTATATTGCACAAGGGTACCGCACCATCCTCGTCTTGAGGAATCGACCTGAATTAAAAACACCAATATTCATTTACTGACAATAAGAAGGTTTGGGATTATTATAATTTAAGTAAGCTTAAGCGCCCACCTATGGTTTGGGATTCTATGATTAAGACATACAAACTGCATGTTTAAATGAACAGTTAATTGTATTTCATGGTTAATAGACCAAAGATTTTAATTATGCCTAGATGTGTCAGATGTGTTTGAGCTCATCTGCCCGAAGGGCAAGTGAGCTTATGACATGGCGCAGCGTCCGTCGTCCGTCCGTCCGTCCGTCAACGTTTCCTTTCAAACGCTTCTAGTCCTAAACGGCTTTGTGGATTTTAACTAAATTTGCTCTGCAGCAGCATTGAGCGAAGGGCACTCAATGTTGTATAAACGGTGTGTGTGGCCCCCTGGGTCCAGTGGAACCCAACAGGGGCATTCGAACTAAACGTTTAAAAGTCTTCTTCTGCTATAGGTATTAAGGATTTCATCCTTATTTGGTCTGGAACATCCTTGGGCCAAGACCAATCAGTTTTGTATAAACAGTGAGTGTGCCCCCCTTGGGTAAAAGGAGAAGAACCCAATAGGAAAAATAAAGGTACAACTTTGAAAATCCTTCTCCTAGCGTAGAGAAAAAGGGATTGTATCCTAATTAAGTCTGAAGCATCCAAGGGTCAAGGGGATTGAAACGGTGGATGTCACTAGGGGCAGAGGAGAGGGGCCCAATAGGGAAAATAGAGGTAAAACCTTTAAAATCCTTCTTTACAATAGAGGTTACGGGATTTTAGCCCAAAATTGTCTCCATCAAGTTGTCTAGTAGTGTCTGTTACTATTAGCGTGTATTCATTAAAACAAGGTTGCCACCAGGCTGCCATCTTCGATTTTTCCATATAAAGTTTGTTCTTACTATGTCTTCTGATATACTGGATTGAGTTTCCATATGCTACCATGGAGTGCCATATCTTTACTTCAAATCAGGTTATTTGAACAAATCCAGGTGAGTGATACAGGCCATCTGGGCCTCTTGTTTTCTATTGCAGGCAGGAGTACTACACAGCCGGTATTAAGGTCAGCATCATAGAACCAAGCGCATATAAAACCGACATCATTGACATTAGCAACATGAAGAAAAAAGTACACGAATATTTTAATCGCCAAGATGAGGATACCATAGAGTATTACGGAAAGGATTACCCTGACCTATGTAAGTACCAAACTTGTACAGACTATAGATATCACCCAGTACGTACTTTCGTTTTACTAGCGATATCATAAGCTAGAACAAATATGGAATATTTTCAAATCGCAGAATGTTCATTTCACACTTAGTGTTGCTATATTACCATTTCTTGAGCTTTCTAGAACCTCACGATTCATACAGATTTTCCATATAAGTGAAATATCTAACATCATCGCTATATGTTCTGCAAATATATTGCCTTATTTGATTACATTAGTCTAGAAAAGTATTGATGATTTTCAAAAATAGATTATGTGTCAATACATTTCTTTTATTTAAATGCAGTATGGAAAATAGGCTATATATATATATAACAGTAATAATGAATTTTTCAAAGCGGGGTCAGTCAATAAGTTATGTATCTTTAATGATATAACAAATGCCTAGATCTGGGACAGAGTAGAATCAAATCTGTATATTTTATAGACTATAGCAAATTGTACCCTACCCACAACTTGTCTTTAATACAGCGTAGATATGTATAGTTTTTATCATAAAGATATCAATGATAAAAATAAACACAAACGGCGAAGGAAGACAATTGTATTACTCGTTCCCTGACCGGGCCTCGAACTCGCAACCTTCCGCACCAGATCGCCTAGACTACGTCACCTCACCATAAATATATGTACATTTAATAAAACAACGAGTACACAAGACTGACCACTATGCCTTTCTGTTTTCTTGGGCTTGTTCCGGCGGACTGATATTCATCTGTCACTGTCAGTTACATGACATCATCAATAGTTGCGTAGTAAATAATTTTAGTGACGTCATCTACCCTGACGTAGCTAGTTTGTTTCAATATGATTAAATACTGGTGGCCATCTGTCTTATAGATATTGTTGTGATTGTTGTGATATTGATTGTTGTGAATACCAGGACAGAAACAGAGTGTTTTCTGTTTTGATCATTATCAAAACATATAGGTAATCAATCACCCTAGTATAATAATGGCTGCTTCCTACTCGGAAAGGCATAATTTCTCTTTAGCTCATTTGGTAGAGCGTCAGACTAGAAGATCAGAGGTCCCGGGTTCGACTTTTATATGATTGGAAAATGGGGAGTACAATAACGGACGGAGTTTTGAAAGAAGTGTTCACTTACTAGTATGACTTCCATTATATATTCCAGTAATAAAGAACATATGGGATAAGTATGTATTTTCCGGGCGATTCTACCAGGTTGTGGACGCGTATGAACACGCTCTGACTGCAAAATACCCAGAAGGTCGATATTTGGTTGGCAAAGATAGTAACACATTTTTTTGGTTGCTGTATATTGCACCAGAATGGCTGTCTGCAATGGCTTTAGGAATTTTTAATTGGCCGTTACCGAAGGGTCTACGTAAGTTTTGCTTTGTTATCAGCTTTTAAATGCTATTATATTACAAAAATATTACGGACATAAATTATTTTATCATGATGAACTCGCATATATATACACTTATGCCACTAACTCAAAAAAGTTAAAAAGCAGTATCGATCCTGTTAATGTCAGTATGTACAAATACATTAAATCAAATATGAATTTCAAGTCAATTGTTCACTTGTTTTTCTTATTATTTGTTTTATATAAATTTGAATTTATTGTTTTGTGTTTAAATTCTTTCATTATTCAACTAAGCGGTAAATACGTAGTTGTTATGATGTTCTAAAATGTATCTTTTTTTCTATATATTTTATATATAAATCTCCATTTACCTCTAATAAAAAACTTTATAGAAGTGACATTATGCTGTTTTTTATTTGCAGGGAAAATTTAGATACGGATATGAAGCCTTTAGCTATAAAACTTCTTCAAAATATCATATATAATCGAATGTTTTTCTCTAGACATATCTACATGTATATTACACGAAGGTTAAACATGACTTACTAGCAGCTAACAAGCTACCTGTTGTTAATATTACCGAGCAATTTATTATAAACATTAAATAAACCTGTTTCTATTGATTTCTTTGTTTAATAAATTCATAAAAAGGACTCTATCAAATTATTTTTATAAACTGTAAATATACATGTATATCTCTAACTTCATATACAAGATATTGAAACAAACGTGTTTAATAGGAAAGATACATAGCTAAATAAGGGTACGCAACATTCGTTTCAAACATTTCTGCTTATTATTATTGTTATCGCTTATACAATCGAGTAATCGAGTAATTCGATGAAATCGATTTTACAGCACGATGTTTTCCATTGTCTTACCAAATAACGTCGTCTCTAACTATCAGATCAAATAAATCCGAAGCTTCTTTTTTAACAATATGTTTTTTCATATCGAAATGAAAAGGGGGTAAAACAATTGAAATAAATGTGGATGCTTTAGGAATACTTCAGAGCAGTCTTTCTTATTAAGACCATCTGGTCTTACGTTAAGTGTTTAAATTGGTATTTTTTTTCTTTCACGTAATCTATTAGATTAGCTTTACAATAACACCAACTTATCAAATGCAAGATAACAGTTCCTTAATGATTACAGAGGAACGGCTTTCGGTCAAAGCCGGTCAATTTTACCGTTTTATTGGCGTGCGATTATTTTGATGTGTATTAATAGATTAATATAGCCTTTTAATTGGCTATATGCCTTCTCGTTTCACCCCCAACGTGGTTCATACAGAGCCCTCAAGTTTGGCGTGACGTAACCAGGGGTACAGAGAATGTAACTTAGAGTACATTAACAACATGATGCATTTTATAATCATACTTATAGTTTACTTACATAATTGGCATAATATGTCAACTAATACCCTCTTTTTCAAATAAAACCAGTTTGTATCAATTGGTAGATATTCTTTTGAAACATATTGATGATGAAATAAAAAATAAATGAAAGCAATATGTATTTGTAAAATTATATCTGGAGAAATCTAGCATGAATATATTTTTTTGGAAATAAATTACAACCGTTTATATTTCGAATGTTACGACCTTAATAGGCGAAAATAACTCTGGAAATATAGATATAATGACTTCATATGTCCTCACCATGGACACATTATCAGTGTGTCTTAATCTTTGTGTGTACATGTATATACACAAGACTAGACCGACACCAAATAAACCTGATAATGATTAGATAGGGTATGTCTGGATTAACCGAATGTCAACGTGCAGAAAAGTCGTACTCTGACCTGTTACAATTTGTAATAAATTGCCATTTAGGAGAAATTGTATAGAAATAAAGATATTTTACCACATATCTTATTGTTTTTAAAGATACAACCACAACAAAACCCCTTTCACTCTGACATGTTTAGTTAAACATATTCCATTGATCAATTGAAAGGATCGGAGAAGAATCTTTTACAACCGTCGTTTCAAGAATACGACATAATATATACATTTTTAAAAGGTAGAATAAATACAGTATCTATACATATATTTTGCAACTGTACATAATGGAGGTGGAAGGTGGAGTACATGTTGAATGCATCAAAAACACTGAAACTGTTCATGAATATTGTAACATTTCAGTAGTATATATTGAAGGTTGCAAGGTTGAAAAATCTGATTGAATTGAATGTATTAATCCGAGAAAGCCTGATACTTACAATAGACTCTGTAATACCGAATCAACCGTAACAGACTGCATACGCAGAAAAAGATTGAATATCACTACAAAGGGACGTAGACCATGGTGAAAGAACCATCTCTACGATTTTGATGTTCTTAGTGATGAAAATGTCATTTTTGATTTAACGCTAAAAGGGAGCTTTTTGTTTCTGCTGTAGTATCTGTAGTATATCGGAGTCTATAGGATAAAATAATATAAAAATGGAAATTATTAAGGTGTAGAATTACTCGCCTTTTTGTATTGAACTAATCACCGAGATATACATTATTCGAGCTATATTCAAATAAAATATGTACGGAAATATTTCCAACGGGTAAATTTCCTTACCACGAACTGTATATACAATGTATAGTCATAGCCCAAACAGTTCCACTATTACAGGGTTAGTACTTGTGAAATTAATCATCAATATATTATTATTTAAAATGACAGATGTGTGTAAACATGTTAATACCCAATATGTTGTAAACAGTGTAGTGCAAAAAAGGATACAATAAATATACATTAATTATATCAATGATAAGATAAATTATTGTTTGTAATCGATGTTTACTTTGAATAATAAATATGTGCATGTGACAGCTTAAATATCGGTCAAGATACCCGAATTTCGTCAGATTTAGATTAGACATCGAAAGTCAAATGGGTACAGGTAATTGAAATCACTAAATGTGTCAATGTATCTAGTAAGATGATATATTAGTTTACAAAGTCTTACGTCAATGTACCAAGAACACTACCAACATCGAGAAACTACCTACATAAAACACTACCAAGAAGAAGACGATACCCAAAACGGGACACTACCCTCAACGGGACACTACCAACCCGAAACGGGACAATACCCTCAACCGGACACTACCAACCCTCAACAGGTCAATACCCTCAACGGGACACTACCAACCCGAAACGGGTCAATACCCTCGACGGGACACTACCAACCCGCAACAGGTCAATACCCTCAACGGGACACTACCAAACCGAAACGGGACAATACCCTCAACGGGACACTACCAACCCGAAACGGAACAATACTCTCAACGGGACACTACCAACCCGAAACGGGACAATACTCTCAACAGGACACTACCTACCCAAAACGGGGCACTCCCTACCAAACACGGAACACTGCCTACCCAAAACGGGGCACTACCCAAAACGGGGCACTACCTACCCAAAACGGGGCACTCCCTACCAAACAGGGGACACTACCTACCCAAAACGGGGCACTACCCAAAACGGGGCACTACCTACCCAAAACGGGACACCTGTGTGAAAGCTGTCCAAGAAATTGACAAGCAATCAAAAGACATATTTTTATGCATGCTACTTTAATGTCTGTAAAGCAGTATATCTACTTTATTGGCTGCTGGTTATGGCTAATTTCAAGGCTAGAAATAATTTCAAAAACAAATCTTTCTTAATTTTAGTGACATTTAAGATATCATTTTCGAAAACGTATATTTTTCAAAACTAATACCGCTTTGGAAAAGAAATGTTATAAGAAAAAGTTACAATAAAATAGTTGATATAGCTCTGATTGTCTGCTTATCTTGATAGCTTATACCTCAGTACGAGCCAAAATACCGAAGTATCCATATCAGGGTACTGTTATACAAGTTCAAGAGCTCAGGTCATCCTTATAGCATTTCACGATCTATTTATAGAACCACGTACAAATATCATATTGTAAATATTAAAAATCACAAGTGGATGATATATACCTATTAAGAATTAAGAAACATTATTGGAATTTGAAACTATGGTATAAAAAAAATCAATATTTACCTGACAAATGTTCCGTTTTTGGTTCCACCGACGTTATGTCACTGTTCCATCAACACAGGCAATTTTGTGCCCAAAAACAAAACATGACTATATATCATTATTCGAAACCATGTTAAACAATCAAGTATGAATTTCAATATTCCGATTTCAAGTTTATTAAACGTTAGTAATATTTGTGAGAGAAACGAACGTTCAATCCTGGTAACGATATGTAGGGACATTAGCACAGGGTATATCATATACTACATGTAACCACTGTAAATACTATATGAATGTTTGATCAAAATGTTATGATAAAATGAAAAAGATTCAAGTAGGTGTAAATCAATTTCAAAGTTAAATTGAATTCATATCAGAAGAAAAAGATGATAAGTTAGCGTTTTTCTTATCCATAATTTCATCGGATGGGTCTTAACACGAGATTGTGGGAATTCGGACATGGAATCTTGTATAATCTCAAAAAAGATCCGAAAGGAGAAGCAACAGTAAAACCTTACATTTACTTATCTCAATATGTGTGTGATATGTTTGTTAATAAAGAAAGCGGACAATGTCAATTTCATGTGCAATGTTTACCTAGGGAAACAGCTCGACAATATACTCAATTATTTTTAATGCGAGAAATATGAAATAATTCCTCATGAAGATTTATTGTAGAAATAATAAAATATACTAAATATTGGCTTTGGTATATTTGAAAGGTTACGTCGCTGTAGAAGCGTTGAAATCACATGACAATGTCGCATTATAGTTTCATCACACTAAAATGTCCTGGAAACCTCCTAACCATCATCCTACCTACATCCGGGCATATTATATGGACAACGAATGAACCAGTCCTCAAGGACACCCTTTAAAATCTGAACGTCAAGCAACGAGTAGCAAACACTCAATTTATAGACTTAGATTAGATCTTACTTGCTTGGGCTATCGTTTAACATCAAGATGAAAAGCGAGGTATTGTCAAGTAAGGCGTTAGCAATTCACAAAGTTGAAATTGGCAGAAAATTGGTTTCCCAAAGGAAAGGCACAAAACCAAACTCTAATTTCGCAGGAGGTTCTCACATAAGTCGCCGCTTCTGTAGATGTTACAAAATGCAACAGCAGGTGTAGTTTTCTTCTGTTAGTGTTTCCTATACCCTACATCAAGTGATTAGAAAACTGGGCACGTACATATTTATCTAATATTGTAATATATTGTATTTAATTATTTGTACTAATTAATTAATTAATTCTCACATATTAAGTGCTGCTTAAAACACTAAACATCCTGTAAAAGAATTGTTGAAACAAGCAAAACATCATGCACGTGTATTATCTTGTCATATAATTACATATTTCGTCCACCATTTAAACCAAGAAGCCCGATATGTTAAAATATAAACAGTTTTTATTCAATGATAGGATAAAAACGATAGTGTATTGACAAAGATAAAACTAAAGTCTACCGCAATTGAGCTTATAAAATTATATTTATACATTTATGAAGAATCCAGACTGTAAGTTATGTACATACTATCAATGATAGTGGCGAGTCGGCGATGACGTACATGTAGATCTGGACTTTGTATACGTAAGTGAGAGGTATGTGTGCTTATGGACCAAGGTTGTATATAAGCTCCACCTTCACACCCTCATCTCATTAGTACCGTCTGGCGAAACTACACTTCACATACAGAAGCAAAACTGGTGAGAAAAATATGTTTCATTTTAGCTAATTGGAAAGTGATTTTGCAAGTAAGCTGCACTTATTCATGAGTTAATGTTTATTATTTAAATTAAGTCTTTGTGAAACTGTTAATCATTATTTATTGTTTTCAAATTAACGCTTGGATCTCAGATTATATGCAAACCATTTATGTATTGAAGAAGAAAGGACAAACATAAAATCGTTTTTCGATAACCTGTAATTCATTAACAAAATAGTTAATGAAGACAATTTTATCAGGTAAGGCTTTTGACGTAAATTTTAATTAATGTACTTTCAATTTAAATTACAGAATTAAGATGCTAGCTTTTATCCTCATCATCTTTACTCTCCTCTTTGTGACCGCCCTTGTGGTCATTCGATGGCAATGGCGTAACTTGAAAATCAAGAAGCGCGAGGACCTCTATGTCCTTATAACCGGATGTGACTCAGGCTTCGGTAACCTGCTGACCAAACATCTTGACAATCTCGGCATTAATGTGTTTGCCGGATGTCTGACACAAAAAGGAGGCGACGATCTAAGAAAAGCAACATCTAATCGAGTTTGCATTATTGACCTTGATGTCACCAACCAAGACAGTTTACACAAAGCTTATGAAGAGGTGAAGAGTAGACTACCTGATGGAAGAGGTAAGGGGATTTTCAACATTAAACGTTATATTCTCTTGGCATGTACATAGCTTGTATAAGAAGGTTTACAGACTGTGTGTCGATCAATCTAATTAAAATTATATCTTCACATCGCTCTCGTTTACTGATATGTCGCGTTGAAGATCTAACAACATCCCGTAGAGGGTCACGTCAGAGGTCAACATGAATACATTATCGCATTTATAACAAGCCAATCAAAACGCGACATAACTCTTTCATTCAACCAATCAGAAAGCAGGACCTGTGGCATTTAATGCAGACACCTCGTAGCCCAAAATCCATTTTTTCGTCTGGTCCAGTGATAGTTTGAATATTGCGAAGCCTGTCATTGGTTAATTTTAGTTTCAGGTTGTTAAACTTTTTAACGACAACATCACCAGAAGAGGAAGTCTCTCTTATTTCAAAGCAAAATCCACAAATTGTACAAACGTTGTCTTGTAGATAGACACAGCGTGGTGTCATGTGCGCCGCCATTTTTCGATGCTCATTTGACACCTCTCGGTCTTTTATCATAGCAAGTGTGTTCCGAAATCATTACATCATCACTTACAGAAATGCGTAAGCTCTCATCTGATTGGTTAATGCAAAGGTCGCCTGAACATGACCCTATACGGGATGTTGTTAGATCTTCAACGCGACATATCAGTAAACGGGAGCGATGTGAAGATATAATTTTAATTAGATTGTGTGTCGATATTTTGTTTTTTGGGGGGATATATAGACTTTATAACCAACGGCAAGTGGTGATATTTATGTCATGGTATGTGACATCTTTTCACATTCTAAGACCTCAAGCGTTATGCCTGGTGCAGGGGCATGCATTCTGTAAACTTGAACCATTCATGAATGTTTATCTCGATTCACCATTTCAGAAATGTTGTGATACATGTATGACACACTTTTCTATTATAACTGAACACATTCCCCCTTCATTATGAAACTGGACTTGTCAAGGCTATGCAATGGGAAGGTTCAAATGTGATATTAGGGTGAATGGGTTAACACATTCTTACAATCTTCACATCTATATATTGCAGGACTCTGGGGATTAGTCAATAATGCCGGTATATTCGGGCAGAGTTGTTACGTTGCCTCTGATTGGCTGAACATCGACGACTATAAGTCTGTGATGGCCGTGAATCTGTACGGAACCATAGAAGTGACGAGGACATTCCTGACGCTCATTAGGAGAGAGAAAGGTCGAATTGTCAACACGACCAGCGTGTCCGGTAGAGTTGCTATTGGCGGGGCTCCATATGTCTGCTCCAAGTACGCCGCGGAGGGATTCGCTGATTCTTTAAGGTAAATTATTCAGAACAAAATTCAGTTTGATTGGTTATTGCTTGCTATGTTTCCAACCAGTTTCAGTTATACAAATAGTATGTTGTCCTTAATATATAGAATGATTAAATTGCAATAGTTGTTAACTTTAACATAGTGTTCACTCTGATCTGTTTTCAAATATATATATATATATAGAATAAAAACAAAAAAATCCAGATCGTCCGCTAGGCCTTTCTGCCTTCTAGGGCTTCTTCAGGCGGATTCATATATATATATATATATATATTAGCTGTATATCTGTAAATGGATACAGAGTACAGTATATACAATCCATATTGTGTACGCGCAGATGTAGAGAATAGCTTACTAAAATTCAGAAAAAATGTCATTAAATGCTTTTAAATCCGAATTTCGATTTTAATTGTAGGCGTAGAACTGACTATTTCCAATTTAACTTGAACTGTTTGATATTTCAGATCTGAGCTGTGGAAATCGGGTGTATCTGTGCACATCATAGAGCCGAGTGGATACAAAACCAACTTCTGTTCCGGAGAGGGAATTAGAGAGAACCTGAGGAAACGGTATCAAGCGCTTGATGAAGAGAAGAGGGAATATTACGGAGAAGACTTTGTGAGTAAATGTAAGTATAGATTCATTCTTTACTAATCCATATTAGTATTGACACATTGTCTGTTATCAAGTGTAGATTCATTCTTTACTTACCCATATTAGTATCGACACATTGTCTTTTATCTAGTGTAGATTCATTCTTTACTAACCCATATTAGTATTGACACATCGTCTGTTATCAAGTGTAGATTCATTCTTTACTTACCCATATTAGTATTGACACATTGTCTGTTATCAAGTGTAGATTTATTCTTTACTAATCCATATTAGTATTGACACATTGTCTGTTATCAAGTGTAGATTCATTCTTTACTTACCCATATTAGTATTGACACATTGTCTGTTATCAAGTGTAGATTTATTCTTTACTAATCCATATTAGTATTGACACATTGTCTGTTATCAAGTGTAGATTCATTCTTTACTTACCCATATTAGTATTGACACATTGTCTGTTATCAAGTGTAGATTTATTCTTTACTAATCCATATTAGTATTGACACATTGTCTGTTATCAAGTGTAGATTCATTCTTTACTTACCCATATTAGTATTGACACATTGTCTGTTATCAAGTGTAGATTTATTCTTTACTAATCCATATTAGTATTGACACATTGTCTGTTATCAAGTGTAGATTTATTCTTTACTAATCCATATTAGTATTGACACATAGTCTGTTATTAAGTGTAGATTCATTCTTTACTTACCCATATTAGTATTGACACATTATTTGTTATCAAGCGTAGATTCATTCTTTGCTTACCCATATAAGTATTGACACATTGTCTATTATCAAGTGTAGATTCATTCTTTACTTACCCATATTAGTATTAAAAGAACAAAGTCGCATGGTATAGGGAAGTGTTGATCTAAGTAGCACAATATAAAATACTATTTCTTTTTCCATTCTCTTTAAATAGTAACATCGGGTATGGATTTCGAACGCAACATGTCTTCAAATCTCAAAGAGGTGATCGAGGCATATACGCATGCGCTGACTGCCCGCTTCCCGTCTGCGCGTTATTTGGTAGGCTGGGATGCCAAAACACTCTACCGGTTCCTATGGTCAGCCCCAGAATGGCTGAGTTCGTTCCTTCTTAGTAGACCATGGCCAACACCAAGAGGAGTGCGAGTACAACACAAGAACATATAATCTCCATGGCGATGGACAGTGGTAGTATTTGCAACTAAGTGACCTTTGATTATGTCAACGTTAAAACAAGTGTCGAATTTGTGTATTAAGTTTGAGATTTGGTATATTGGTTTCATAAAAAAACGATCAAAATATAGTACATGTATATACAACTTTTCTTGACACATACATAAACGAAGTCTTAAGATATTTTGATACCAAGACATTGTGACACAGTTGGTTATCTAAACGCTCAAATCTTTAAAATAGAGAAATTATTACGTATGTATTTGTATTTTTGGAAATATTTTTTGATTTTATCTAAACTTCGCTTCTAGGCTTTATCATTAACTGGTTTAAGGAAACGTTGACAACGAATACCATGAACCATATGCTATCAATTTAATAATTCACGTTTGATACTTAACAGAGATAATTGGTTTTCACTTTTTTAAATAATATCAAACTATTCATCTTCTTGATACTGATATTTCATATGTTGTTATCAAAACTTATAGACATGCTTTGGCGACAACTTCAAAGAAATAAAAAAAAAGTGTCACTTGTGTTTCATAAGCTTTCAGCATTACAATTCTTTGTAGATATCATTTTAACATTAATATTTATTTGTATATATATATCACTTCTAGTCAACGCGTTTTTGTTATTGGTTAAAGCTAACTTCAACGCTCGATTAGTATTTTCAAAGAATGACCGAATATTTCTTACCACCTAAATCATATGCAAAATGATAACATGATCTTGTAATTATTGATTTCAACACAACTTAAGGAGAAAAAACAACAGATTATCTCCCTTTATAATTTAATTTTCGGTCGGTCCGGATATTTTTGATGCGCTTTATTTATTAATTAATTTATTTATTTTGAAATCGAGTACTAACTCACGAGAATTAATTAAAAATGATAAATAAAAGCTATAATTTTTCTACCACAATATTTTCTATATTGTCGAGTGATCGACCTCACTGTTACATAAAATTTCGTCTTTGGTATTATATCTATAAATAGTCAAATATTGATCAATGTTTACCTATTCTAAAAGTTCGTAAAGCGAAACATTTGTAAAATTAAAGCAACCATTTTAGGCTACCAATTCGGGGGAAACTGGTTGTAGTGAAGAAGCACATTTAAATGGCGCAAATCTTCAAACTGCAACCTCCCGTAGTTAAGGATGTCAACCAATCAAAGACACTTTACCAACAGTTCCGTCGTTTAATGGTGGTCCGGTTGCTGATAAACAAAAAATATTGTGGTAGAAATAAACATATGAATCAAGATGTTCTGTACAGCAGACTTACGTTCAATAATTTATCGATCAATATTCCAACTCATTGTCGAATGTCACAGTTATATTTAGCATCATATGCAAATATCAATGCAACTATTTTAAATGGTTTTGTACATATGTATATATATATGTGATGTATATAATGTTTTATTTATATTTTTATATAAAAGCCTCTGTTGTTTTTCGTTACGTTTTGAACATTTTTCTTCATGTTCATTTATTTACAAAACATTCAGGATCATAAAAATCATTTAAAACAAGTATCAATGCAATTTTTATTTGTACATACATGTAACGTTTCTTAACATTGGCTTTCTCCTTCATGTGTTAAATGTCATTACTGTGTGTGTTTTTTTTACATCATTATAATCTGGGAATATGTATATTAAATATATTTGAAATAAATATCAAGATGAATTCAATGGCTTCATTACTTATATTCTTGTTCACGATTTACGTACTAATACAATATGCAAGATAACACAAACAACATATAAACACAACCATAACTTTATGAAAAATATACTTCTGGCTTAGAAAGTTGACACTGTATACACCATATAACCTCAGTTTGATCCTTGTTATATTTAAAATAATTAAATTCTGGTTATTTTCCCAGCGATACGCAGTTTTGTTGTATCGTTAATCTTAAAACAAAATATCAAAGACAATACAAAACGATGACGTCGTTTACTGTAATATTTGGCACTTTATTTGTAGTTCCTTCTTCTGATTTGTTGAAGTTTCCTAACAATGAAATTTCAGTGCAATTTTCTGTTTGCTTTGTGCAAAATCCTTTTGATTTTTTTAGAAATATATAAATAGTTATTGACAATAACTATTCTTTGGCTATTCTAAATCAAATCATATTGTTTAACCAGAATATTATTTGGAGTTATTTTGTTTATACCAAAGACAGTTGTGTGAACTTGGTATGGATCAATAGAGTAACCTCACCGCCTTTAAAACAGTATGAATATTATGCATGCAGACGATAACGATAATGATACACGCTAAAGCAAGAAATTATCAGTAACGAACAATCTGGATATCTTCAATGTACTCTAATGGAACGGCAAAACTAGTAAAGGTGTTTTTTAAGAAAAGCCTTGTTAATAATATCAAACAACCAATGTTAACACAAGAATAATTTGATAAGGAATGTTACTTGACCTGTTGGATGTTTGAGATAAATTACTGATATTTGACATTTCATTTAATGTTCAATGATTTAGTAACGATGTTCATAATCTGAATGCTATATTATTAACGTCACACAAATATAGATTTTTGACGTGATTTACAACCGATCTGATAATATATATCAAGGTACCCTGGCGAGCTTTACTTGTGCTGGAAAAGTTGCTTAACCTTTTAAAATTATTAAAAGATTTTTACGGTTAACCTGAAGTTGTTGTTATGTGCTTTTACTGCCAAATTTAGGGTAAGTCAAAAGTCAATATAAGTTATTTTCCAATCGAATAAAATTAGAACTTATAACATATGTTTTGTTTTAAATATGAAAAAAGTGATGTCGTTTATAAATGATTTCAATGTAATTACAACGAAAACATGGCCATTTATAGTGCTCAACTTTTAAACAAAAGCATCCGAGTGAATGCATTATCCCACTAATGTCAACATCAAATTAAGGGGAGGCAATTTTCATATTTAACAAAATAAAACTAAAACTACCACACCTTCAAAATTCAAGTCCTCACAAGGAAAATAACATAAAATCGATACAAAACACGATAACGTCATTCAGGATGAAAGTTGACCACAGATTAGATTGCAAATACAAAATTTGGTATGATATACAGTATTCTAAAAATGAACTGCTGTTTAGTTCTCTAAGGACTTATCGGCGATGCTACAAGCCAAGAAGTTAAATCCAAATTGGTCGTATATACTGTTGAAACAGTGGGAGAGTTGCATAAAACCACTAAATTATACGAATTTCAAAAATCAGAGGAGTGCTGCTGGCTTTCTATTATTAAAGAGTACAGTGTATAGAAACAAACTTTACTCTTATCATATTTAATCAAAACAAATTCGTTAACTCAAACTTCAATAATGTAAAAACGAAAGTTAAAAAAAATGACACCACGACTTGAAATGCAAAGCTTTTACCTACAACATCACGGAAACATCAAGAAAGGAACCAAGATGAGGGATATTAACTTTAACTTATTAACATCTCGGAGAGAAACATAAACTTGAGAACTTTGAAGAGGGAAACATTAAAACGATAACCGTATGTTTGTCATGAGTAATATCGCCCAGTGGTTTTTGTGGTGACGTCATTGTGTTAGGTAGTGTGTGTGGAGTAATGGTATGGTGTTTGTTGTAAGAAGACATGGTGTCCTGTTTTATCGTGGTAGTCGATTATTTGTGAGTGGCGCCATGGTTTAATGTTATATTTGCTTGGATTCATGATGACCGATTGTTTTGTGAGGAGTCGTGGTACCATGAATCCATCTTTGGCCGTCGTCTTGACATTATTGTATATTTTGAGGTTTTCTAACCATCACTTTTGTTTTCTTATAGTTTTCTCATAGTTTTCTCTCTTTCTGAGTAGTAATGTATATATATTGTGTAATCATAACGTAACATAATGGGTTTGTTGGCACTTCCATGCTCTCTTGTGTTTAACACATATAACCCCTCTTGACATATTTCTGGCTTTAAGGATCCGCATACCACTGCCAAATAAATGGAATTAAGTATTGAAAACTGAAAAATTACTTCAGCTTTGATGAATATTTTTTTAAAAGGAAATTATCCCTTCCGGGACTTTTGTGAGAAATAAAAAAAATTATTAGATAAACAAAATATACTCGACATAAACAACTGGTGGATTTACAGTTGTTAGTTTAGTCACATTCATGATAAAACTGGCGAAATATTGAAATAATGAGATTCCTAGGTTTTTATGTCTAGATGTTAACTGGAACCTTGTTGTATCCTATACAGAAGTGAACGTGTTCCCTGTACAAAGGGAACCAGTCCCACTTACTGCTTGTTTTGTATTTGAAAAACAAGGCTTTTTTGAGGGAAAATCGTTGCACGTGCATGCTTTGTTTGATATTTCTTTTGGTTTTGTTATTTTTTATAATTAGTATATAGATGATACCAAGCATCGGTGGTTCAGTGGTAGAATTTTCGCCTGCCACGCCGGAGGCCCGGGTTCGATTCCCGGCCGATGCACATTTTCATTTATTCTTGTTTTTGACAAATGGTGTTATTCAAACCTCAATGAAATATGTCATAACATTGCGAATGGTTTGACCACTGCCAAAATCTGAAATTGTGCATTTGTTTAAACAATATTTATTACTTAAATTTATTTACAATACAATACAATCACATCAATTGAAAGGATCTGGCGACAAGATATGAAATCTTATATTAGGCCATCTCCTTCAGGTAACATTTAACAAACATTTATATTCTCTGATTGACCTAAATTGTTTAACATATATAACACACATTTTAATCTAATTAGTAAGACAAAAAGAAATGAGAAATAAAGAGTTTAATTATTAAGAGAGATAGAAGATAGAGATTTAGAAATTTGAGAGAGTGGTGAGATTCTACATCAACACCTATAATCTGCCTGATGCCATAATGTACCTCTGGACTTTATTAAATAATTTCAATATTTTCTATTGGAGACAAATTTGGGTCACCTTGAAGCAATATATCAATATTTATGTTTATATTTAGCTCAGACATTGTATTAAGTCTACGTTGTCTATAGTTTGTACATTCTAATAAGAAATGAGATGCTGTCTCAATACTACCTCATTGCCATAGGTTTGACTCAGCAACATGTTTTTTGCACAGATCGTAATCTAAAGAGCTACACCAAAGACGAAGTGTTGTATGGAGTACCTGGGCCTTACGGTGGCCATTGATATAATAGGACGGCTTTTTGATTTTATTCCGGTTTAAATATCTTACAAAAAAAGGTTTAGACGGTGAATTTCTGGTCTCATCAGGAATTGCGTTCCATTCTCGTATGGCTGTAGGTAGGAACGAAGATTGGTAGGTATTAGTTTTACTGGATGGGTGATGCATATTTGAGTTTGACCTTGGTCTATAACCTTGAGAGGCACCAATACTTGGGGGTAGTATGTTCTGTAGATATGTAGGGGCATACTTATGATATATATTGTACAATGCTATCATCCTATGTTAATAACGTCTATATGATAAAGATTCCCATCCAGCTTTCCAAGTTATAGAATTAGTTGATGCAGATTTTGTTGCTCCTGTAACAATCCGGCCTGCTTCCATCGGCAGTTTTTCAATATCTTGATTGTCCTGTTGATTGCAATTTCCCCATACTCTATATATATGAATATTCTAACAACGGGGCTGCGCAGAGATTCAAACTCTTGACTTTACATTGATAGACAATCGCTCTAATCGATTGAACTTCCTAGTAAACAGAGGTGTCTTGGACCATCTGTGCTAAACGTTATATCCAAACGGCAGTTAAAGGGAGGTTACTGCATTTAGGAAAAAACACAATGCAGT